CCTGACCAGTTCCGGGCTTTTATGTCTTAAGAAAGTATGTACAGAATATGTGCTGCCTTGGCCATTCACGTGTCTGTTGGCACGCTCTTTGATTGATTCCCTCTAACTTGAGTTCCAGTTTATCCAGTATTCCTTGCAGAGATATATCAGCTGAGAAAAATATTTACATGCATGACTCTTAAGCCTGAATTCAGTTGAATTTGGTCAAGCTTCACAAGCTGGTGAGACTGAAATGGATGTTGTTCAGGTATGGAGTTCAGAAAGACAAAGACAAGCCTGTTGTCTCTGATCTACAGGCACTTTTTTTAGTCTTTTATTTTCAGCATGTGGGCAGTCCTGTGCCTTTAATAAACTTCTCAAAACATAGGTCCAGCTTACTATTCAGGGCATCAGCCAAACACATACCAAAACCCTGTACCCTGTAATGTGAGAAATAAAGTAGCAGTCCCCTGTGTAACTACTCCGTCTTGAAAAGTAAATCAAAGTGCAAGCACTGTTTATGTTTGATAATGTGTTATTAGCAGAACTCCTGACTACGGTTCACGCCAACAACTATGGCACAAAGTGCCACTACCAGTGACGTTTATACTCTCTGATTGCAAACACTACTGTAGCCTTAAGGATGCAGGCCAGCACCTGTTGCTAATGCAATAAATATGGACTTGAAATCAAGTTTTAAAATAGAAAAAAATCAGTGTCTGGGCGTTAAGGGTCCAACCTAAGTAAGTTTTCCAAAGAGCCATCTGGTCTTCTGCCATATCTTCTAGTTCACCCACAGACCGGTTTCCCTTCAGCTTTGTTGACATCTCTCTGCTTAAGTAATACCATGACTCTCCGCCAGGTTTATCTCATATTACAAAATCCTTAATACTGGGCTGGACAAGGTTAAAAGGTCTCTCTTGACCTTACAGGAAAGAAGCCTTATTTCAACATGGCTACAAGTTTGTTATTTCTTTTTTCATCAGTGCTGTGTTGCCAAGGTGTATTTATCATGAGTTCCATAACATTTGATGTCCTGAAAAACAGAACCTAAAATATAAAACCAAAGTGCTGATGTCCCAGCTCTCATTTTCAAGTGGTTAAACAAGAATCTCAGCCTTCACCTTAGAAAGACATTTCAAGGCTCAGCATTGTTGAGAAGTAATTGGAAACACTTGCAACACTTGAACACTTGAAAATTACTGAAAGTGAAAAATACTGGAAGTGCTTATATACTCTGCAAATTGAGAAATCAGAATATCTTTAAAAATAAAGCTCATTATTTTCATTTTTTAACAGAAGTCCCATGGTTTTTAAGTTACTCTTGAGATTTAGGAACAAGAGCAGCTGAGTCCTTCTCTTTGACTGTCTGTTTTCCCAAATTACTTACACTGTTCTGTTATTCAGACCTCTCCTCAAGCTGCGTGGATCGAATGGAGGATGAATGGGTTTGTCTTAGCACCTGCCTTTACTGAGTTTCAAGTTAAAGGAGACTCACAAAGGTGTTGTGTTGTTGTGCTGTTGGTGTTTCTCTTCTACAGCCAAGCCACCTTATTTATTTCCATTTCGAAAAGCTCAAAAGGTTCTATCTGTTTTTTGAAGTTTGCTGTGTTTCCCTTTCTGAATAAAAGATTTTCCTGCCCTAGTTTATTAAAAAAAAATGCTGACAAGGGTGTCATCTGCAGCCCTCGTAGCATGGCTGGGTCAATACTCAGTATTTTCAAGGGAATATTTTTCTCTCAGATGTTTGAATTCAATCCATACTGTTGTTATTTATTAAATAAATAAAACTTTATTTCCTGATGTCTTATTTATTAAAGACTAAGGATTTATTTTAAATGTTAGGCTTTGTGTTTACTCTCAGGTCAGGGAAGATGTTTACTCCATATAGTACAAGTGCAGGTGTGATGCTTCTGTGCCTTGGAGCACAGGAGGATGAAGAAGTGCAGTGGGCTCCCTGCACTGGGCATCTGTTCTGGGCTGTACTTGGTCTGACTGGGCACAACTCTTCATTTCCCTGCAATGGCATCTGATTTGTGCCAGCAGGAGTGAAAGGTGGCTCAGGTTTGGTGTCCTAAGGTGTCCTAAGCAGGTTGAAAGGCTCACTTTACCAAAATGGCTTTAGGAAAGTTAAAGCAAACTTAATGAGGTTTTGAAGCAGGCAAACTTTGTGAGACAGGCTCATCATCACCTCACTCTGCTAAGGAATTTGGGCTGGAATCTTAAGAGCAGTGTTTTCCCATACGGAAGGGTTAAGTCAACGTTAGAAGTGGATACTGCAAGTATAAGTTTTTAGATAAAAACTTAGATAAGGGCTAAGTTCTGTTCCTAGTTTTGCTAACTAGTTGTCCTAGAACTTCATGGGAACCATTCTTTCTCTGCCTCTGTTCTGATTTTTGGATTTTTTTCTGGTCCATCCCATTTCTGCCTTCCCTTAAGATACATTCTGTTTCCCACCCACACCTTTCCTCATCTGAGAATTACTTAACTTTCTGAAGAGGAGTTCTGTGAAATGTATCCTACACAGATGCACTGCTAGGGTGGAGCTGGGAATAGAGCAAGGGTGGAAACTAGGGACTGGGACAGGGATGAGGGAGAACAGAGGCATGAGCCAGCAGTGTGCCCAGGTGGCCAAAAAGACCAATGACATCCTGGTCTGTATAAAAAATATTGTGTCAAGCAGTACTAGGGAAGAGACTGCCCCTTAGTACTTGACACTGGTGAAGTTGCACCTGAGATTCTGTGTCCAGTTCTGGGCCCCTCATGAGAAGAAATATGTTGAGATTGTGGAGTCAGTCCAGAGAAGGGCAATGGAGCTGGTGATGTGTCTGGAGTACAAGTCCTATGGGGAGCAGCTGAGAGAATTGGAGTCGCTCAACCTGGGAGAAGGGGAGGCACAAGGGTGACCTTATCACTCTACAACTACCTGAAAGAAGAGTGTAGCAAGGTGAAGGTCAGGCTCCTCTTCCACGCTGTGCCAGGGGAGGTTTAGGCTGGACATCAGCAAGATTTTTTTCACTGAAAGAGCAATTAGACATTGGAGTGGGCTGCCCAGCAAGGTGGTGGAGGCATCGTCCCTGGACATGTTCACAAAGTGACTGGACATCGCACTTAGTGCTACGGTGTTGTTCTCATGACAGCATTCCATCACATGTTGGTTTCAGTGATCTTGGAGGTCTTTTCCAACCTTAATGATTCTGTGATATGGGACAATATGACACTGCAGCTTCAGGACAAGAGACCAGAACTGCTCTTTTCCAGTTTAAGATGATATTTTACTGTCCCATCAGAGGCCTTCATAAGCCTGTGGTGTACACACAGAAGGAAGAGCAGCCTAAGTAGTCAAGACAAAGTTGTGTGGGAGATGGGCTTCCATCTAGAGCAAGTATTCTCAGGGATGATCTTCTTGTGCCTAATTTTAGTGCACAGCCTTTTCCACTGATTCCCTGGCATGAGTGCTTTCTCTTCTGGTGCTCTACTGTTTGGAGTTCTTTGGCTTCCTTTGCCTGTCTACCAGAGTCAGTGATAAGCTTCTCCAGCTTCCCTAAGCTAATCAGAGTCTCTTTCTCACTGTAATCTACATATCTCAGCAACTGGCTCTCACAGAACTCCCTGATCACCTTTATGGTCTCTGAGAGTGACAGAGGGTTTGTTTGTGTGCAAATTAATATGCTGGTGTAAGGAAAATCAATAAAGAACAAGGCTACAGCAAAGCAAATCCTATAATTCCTTTATTGGACAAGTGGGTAGGCTTCTAAACATGCTAAAAATGCTTGGAATATGGAAACTCATTGGCAGACGCCACTGTTTCCTATGAAGCTTTGCAGCCTTAAATTGGCACATGGAGTCATCAGAGCCCTTGAGCCAGCAGCACCAAAGCCATTGCTAAGTTCACCATTGAATTAATCAACTAAGAAACTGAGCCCTAAATTCTGACTTGTTCAAGAGTGAAAATCCTACCTCCGATCTTTCTGAAACAGATCAATATTCTTTCTTGTTGGACTGCAGCTGCACCAGTGTTGTACAGTGTTGAAACATGGTCAGTTTATACTTTATAGGCAATATGTTCTGCAAACTGGAGGAACTAAGGTCGCCTAAATCACCAACTTTGTCTCTTCTAAGCCAAGATTGTATTACCAAGGGAAGATGAATGTCGTACAGGCACCCACAGTGGAAACCAAATCCACCTGAAAATCAGACTCTTGAAGAATGTCAAATCCATATTTACTGAGCACGAATGGCCTGACCTTCTCCTGGGTTTGCCCAGACCAGAGTTCTTGGTTAGTTTTATCATCAGAGATTTTTAAAACAATATAGAAGAGATTCTTAGTAAAGCTGGGCTAATATTCTGTTTTTATTGATGGATCTACTCTCATTTTTGTCAGATACTGATGTCTTCCAGTTGTAAATACCTGGAATTCTCCTGTGTGGGCAGACCTTTGTTGCAGTGGAGTTATGCTGAGGGCTGTAACAGGCAATGCCAGGTGCAGCCCATCAGACACCTCCCAGTTACATTTTCTGTACACTTCCAGCTCTGAGAAGCTGGTTGGGGTCACTGGATTGGTTCCAAGTACAAAGTAGAAGACAGGAAAGTCTAGTGCATGTTGGGAAGCGTGTAGTATGTTTCCACTCATTCGGAGGGGCTATGGTGCTGGGAAGCCATTTCTATAGAGCTGCTTTGTGAAAGGAAGTTGTATGTGTTTAGAATGGCTACATGTATATATAAGAAAGGTAACTGCATATGCCATAGATTTGTGTATCATAAACATGTATGTCATAAGCAAATTTAATTGGGGGATACAACTGTCAGTGCAGCTTTAAAGAATCCTCTGAATTCACTGTTGCAAGCATGTGGGTTGGCAATTTACGTATTAGCTCCAGAGGGAAAGAATTATGTGTTTAGCAGACAGGTGATGAGTCTTGGTACATTTTTGTGAGCCTAATAGATCTTCTCCTGTAATCACTAATTTTATCCCACCCTGCCTGTCCCCAAGATTTCCAAATGGAGTGCACTCAATCTTTTAAACATTCTGAAATGGGCAGTCATAGTCTGTCATCCTGCAGACAATAAATTTCCACTGACGATCCCTGCATGAAAGAGAGACAAAAGAGAGGTGTTAGTGAGCCAGAACTGCAGAAGATGCTATGCAAGTAAGAGTAACATTATACCAGGTACTGTTATGGCAAGAAAAACATCTGTCTGCCATTAACTGACCTTCATCTGAGTGCTCTGTGTTTTCAAGAGCCAAAAGAACATTAAATATGTGTGATAGTTACAACTCCCTTACACTTCTTTACAAGATAAGAAAATCTGCTCTCTGAATAAGTAGGTCTCTGAAGACAATGAATACTGATGGTGATCAGTCCTGAATTGACTTTTAAGCAGTGACCAAGAGGAAAAGGATAATTCTGTCAAAAGTTATTGTCATGTCATATATTGTTCAGTAATGTGTAAAAGGTGAATAGTACTTGGGTGATTTTAAGCTATGTCTAAGAGGGGAGTTATCCACACAGCAAATAGTGATTTCTCATCCTTGATCAAATCACATGTGAGGAAGAGTAACATTTATGAATGTAAGGAGAGTTTATGCTCTTCTCAGTTTGTGATTGGTATTCTCTCTCAAGAGAGCGATAGGAAACCTAACAACTGTTAGTAGGAAGCCTGACTTGGAGCAGTGGGATTCAACAGTGGAGGCCAGTGATTTAGTGTCCAATAGTCACAACAGGCTACAAATTTAATTTCCTCTGTAGCTTATTGTGTGTTAAATTTTCCTTTGACAGATAGGCATGAGATCAGAGGATCAAATACAGTCCTGCTGTGAAGGGAATGTTGAATTCAGGCTGCTTGATACTGGCTAACTTGAATTTAGATCCAAACTACAATCCTTGCAGATGACAGTTGTCATTTATATTGATAAATATAACCAAGAGGTTTCTGAAAGCTTGAATTCTGCTAATAGTGATGTCCTAAAGATGAGGCATAGGATGGGTAATGTTGGTAATGGGTGATTTAATAGGAGCTTGCATCTTAAGACCCCTCCACCAAACTGGTGCCAGACTGCTGCCTCTTGGGAATGTGCTGAGACCCCCTGAGCCCAGATTTTGGTATTAACTGTGCTTAAATGGTGTCATTGACTGGGTGACTCTGTCCTGGAATAAGACTAATTTGACTATTAAGCCCTGTAGGTATACATTTTGTATCTACCCTGCAGGTATAAAATGTCTCATTGCAGCTTTTGTTAACTGAGGTTTTTTAACTGGAAATTTACTGTGCTGCTAAGCTACAAGTTTATCCTGAGTGTCACTTGGAACTGGGTCTGTGTCATGCTCATCAGCAAGTATGATGTAACAGTTATATAGTTTGGCTTTGGTTTTCTTTAGATTTTTCCTAGGTGTTTTAAATTGCAATTTCCTTGTAAAATTGTTACCAAAGATTAATTAAATGCAAGATTCATTTTTAGGTTTATTTTAAGAATAAACCCTAAAATTATTTGGTCAATGTGCATGCTTTTCAAGGACAGTTATTACTCTTTTGGTCACTAAGTTACCAAGAGAGATAAAAAAATAAAGAGGATCTCTTTGTGGAAAACAGAATTATATCGGTCAAAGTTTAGGTCTGCTAAGATAGCACCCATTGTCAGAGAGACTTTTAGCTCAAAATCTTAGATCAAGTAGGTTTTCTAAAATAGGACATGAAATTAAAAGTCAAGCTCTTTAAAAGAAATGTATTTTAGTCACCTGAATTAACATTATGCTTTAAAATACTGGAACAGAATTATTTCTGAAGCTGTCATTTCAGCTTGGATTTGCTGACACTAGCATATATGTACATGGTTGATGCATTTATGGCACATTACCATTTGTTCCACGGTTACTTGTGTTTGAACTCAAGCATACATGCCCAGCTTCTCAGGATGCAGGCAATTACTTTGTACTATTGCTGTTGTGTGCTTAATTCAGTAGTTATCAGCCTGTTTCAATCTGTTTATCTCTTAAAAGTTTACCAGTGGGGATGCAGATGCCATCAGGAATTGCCTTATGAGGCGTACACTAGAATATATCTGAACTCGCCTTTGCAGATCTTGACACCAGTTAGTAGGTGTCATCCCCTCCCAGTTGCTAAATTAATGCATTTTCCTTGGCATTGGGAATCAATATTTAACTGTCTCTTTTGCTTTCCAGCTGTCATGTCCTGTCAGATTTGAATTTTTGATGTATAGAGAAATTTCTTTTATCTCCAAATATTTTTGAATAATCTGTTTCCAATCAAGTTAAAACATTCTGTGAATTCCTATTGAGATTGAGTTTGACAAAATCCTCTTTCATTGGTCATATGAAACATATTAGGGACCTTAAATACCCTATAATTTAGCTCAGCTGAGCTTGGTGGATGTCCAGCTAGTCTGGGCATTTCAAACATACTTTACTGTTGGGGTATCTGGCTGTCGATTTATTTTTCAATGATGATGTCTGAGCAGTTAAGAAGTAACTGGCTATCCAGATAACCCAAACAAATGGAGCAGAGAACAGTTTTGTAGAAGAAATGAGCTTATGACAGCCTTCATGTGCTATTTTAATACTACGTAGCAAAGGACAAGCTGTGGCGCTTTCCAAGAACACCTGGTAATTCCCACCTCCCTGTCCAACGTACTTGCTGCAGGTTGGGTTGTGTGTGTTCCAGTAGTGCTCTCTGGACCAGGAGACTGTTCCAACCAGATGACAGCCACCTAACAATGCCCCACCAGAAAGTCATACCATCATCACTTGGCATGTTTCAGAGCTCAGGCTGAAGGTATTATGTTGTTCAGTTTGTGGGTTTAATTTTGGAAGCTATTTTGCCAAGGGTTTGCAATGTGCATGTGTATGTGGGCAGCTTCAGTTGTTTACAGCCTTCTTCAGATAGCCCATGTCCTTCTCTGAAATTTGACTGTATCGGTCTGTCTGATACAGATACTGCCCTTTCCTGCAAATGTTCCCTTATTTATGTCTTTAGGTCATCCTGTCTGCATCAGTGTTATCACCACACTCCTGAATGGGCTCCAGGAGATACTTCAGGCCTTTTCTAATTCTTTCCAGCTGCTTTTGTCTTGCTTTATAGACAGTTGTTTTCTCCTTTTGACCTATTTAAAATGAGACTGGAAAATGTAAATAGTAACCAGTTCTGAAGTCTGTTCTTCCCAAACAAGCAGTTAAAACTTTTGATAATAACTACTTTCATTCTCTCTCCTGCTACACAGGCATGGAAACTCACAGGCAGTGGTTACAGAAGTGTTGGTGGGGATAGCCTCATTATAAACTTTCTATGTCCTTTGCCACAAGCATCACATGTTGTCTCAAATATCCTTGTATAAACAGTGGCCTCACTGATGCAATGTCTTAGAGAGTAGGAAGGGAAGATATGATTTCTGCAAGTTTATTGAAGAAGTCTAAAAATACCTACCTGTTTGAAGTGATTGGGAAAGTTTTAACTGAAATACCTTCAGAGGCTTTTTCTTGACTCTTGTTAGCTCAAGAACATTGTCCATATGAACTAAATAGTAGGGACACAAGTTTAATGTGCTTGAAAAGAGGAATTACAAAATGTTCACAGAAATAAGTGGAAATGTGCATGCTCCAGGCAGGCTGAGATCAGAAGACCTTTTCTTGCTCCTATTCTGCTTCATGAGCTGCAAAGAATCATTAAGGATGACAAATTTGCTGACTTTTGTGATTCATCCTGCTCAGGAGTGTTACAGGCCTGAATCTGAATTCTGAACTGGTATAGCAAGATTTTTTTTTTTCCACTTAATTCTCTTGGCAACACAAATGGTTTCTGGTTGTTCTGAAAGCTGAGGACCAGGAAGTTCATTGGTGCAGAAATCTCTTCTAGCTTGAAATTTGTGAAATATTTTCTCTGTAGTTTCAACCTGCTACTGTTGCAGGTGTATGACTGCCACCAGAGCACAGATAGGACAAAAGTGTGCTGGTGGCTTCTTCCTCTTCCAGGCACTGTGGTCCTGTGTGGACCTGTACTCCCAATGTACATTCCCATGATGCTGCCTTTGCTCCAGTCACCCCACTGCCACCCTCTTCTGAAGGCTGCCTTTAGCAGCCAGAGATAGCAATCTGCTCAGAGGCATAGGCTACCTTGGCTGCTTTGCTTTCCACGCCTGTCCTTGTGGATTCCAGACATCCACATGCGATGGAGTCTGGATTCCAGCTGCAGTAGCATGCGCTGTCTGCATTATTTCCCCTACTCTCTGCCACAACCATGAGGAACAAGGATTAAGGATAGCACTGGGAAATATTTAAGATGAAAAGCCCAGAAGGGGGCTGTCCCTTATGACCTTGTAATTTCTTTATCTAAAGCGATAAACAGATACCCTTGAGTCAAGTATCTATGAGTTATTTTTCCACTTGCAGGAAGAATTTGCAGACATGGCTTCCATTTGGTAATAAGCAGGATAATGTATTTTAGCCAGGAAATTATAGTTATGGACCTGTAGTGGTCTTAAAACATGTTGTCATTCTGGAAAAGCCTCCTTATTTTAGGTTGAGGGATCCCTATGGTGAACTTTGGCAAGCTGAGAACATTACAGTGACAAAAGCACTTTGGCTGCTTTGAGTGTTATTAGAGAGTGCTTGAAATATTGATGTCATTAAACTCCCACTTCTCTCTTCTCTCCCCTTTCTCATGTAGCCCATCTTGGCAGAGCATTGCAGCACTCCTTACCTTGCTGTCTGTATTTTGCTTGATAACAAATGCTTTAATATATTGGGCTGAGGTGCCTAACAAAAGACATCAGCAAAGAAATAGCTCACTATTGATGTATTAGAGGGCAGCTTAAAATAATTAAGATCCCTCTCCCACAATCAGGTTTCAGTGACTGCTTATACCCTTCTTAAACCTGCTCTGTTAGGATCTCTGTAGCCCTAGGCAGACTACAGTGTGGGATTTATGTTAAGCCCAAAGTTTAAAACTTTGCAGTTGTGCATAGTAAAAAAGGGAGAAACATTCCTTTTTAACTGAACAGAAAAATTGTGAATCCATTTGCATGACTAAAACTTCACTAGCCATAGGGCCTCTCCCAAGAGGACTAGCAAATGACAAGAAATGAGCAGAACTGATCAATAAAACATAGTTAGCTCATTTTCTGGAAAGGGATCAAGGTGCATGGCACTGCCTGAATTCCTGGAGTGGCTTGAATCTGTTAGAATTGTGTTGAAATAGATTGGGCAGTTTAAAGCATTCACATTGCATTTTATATGGTATTAACTTTGCATGCTGGCAGATTCCCTGCTTCTCTGCAAAGGAAAGGGGACCAAAATAGGTCCTTGATTCCCTGAAGGCACAGGGTGTTTTTACTGAGCTCAATGAAATATGCTCCAACTAGAGGTAGGTGAGAAAGCACACAGAAGATCTGTTGCATTTGATAAAGGTCAGATTCAGCCCAACCTACCACTGCTGTATTTTTCACTGCTCAGATGGACATGGCAAATGATCCCCATTAGCATGCTCTGCTCCTGATGCACGACTCTGGACAATGAATCATATGGACTGTGAACTTTGGTCCTCAGAATTCCTAGTGCTTTGCTAAGTACCACAGCAGATGGTGTGTAGCTATGCTCTGTTGGGGGGAAATAGAGAAGACAGGCATTTTAAAGTTTCTAATGAAACATGTGAAAAGCAAACCTGTGCACAGCAGAGAAAGTTGTGGTTGCCCCACGGATGTAATAGTCGTAAGTGTACATCATCATGTCCATATCTTCTCCATAGTGTCCTGGATATTCTGTTGTTAACCTTTACATGAAAGAAAAAGAAGATAATATAATTTGCCATCTTATAGAAGTGTCCAGTTGAATGACTACAACTCAATTAGTAGATTTCTCCTGTGTCTTTGAAAGTTCTCGTTTCTTAACAGCACTACAAGATGCGGTCTCACAAGACTGCCTTTCTCCTCTATGCAACTAATTCAGGTAGCTATTTGAATAAAATTCAGCAACTTTACAACAGTTATGAGCAAACTGCAGTATTGGAATATATGTATGTACATCTGCAGCTCTGGGATAAAAGCAATCTGAACAAGAAGATAAAATTTGTCTACTACTTATGTCTTTATTGCAGGGATTTACTCCAGCAAATTTTCCTCTTGTGAAACTCTTTGGTTTGCAGCTGTAAACCACAGTAAACATTGCCAAGTAAGACAACACTAAGCATTTATCCATGTATGAATTGTATTAAGTGAATGTAACAATTAATCCATTACTTTTTGTTCTTTCCTCTCTCTGCCCAATTTATAATGAAAAAATATGGGCCTGAACATATTTTGCGGTGCGGTGTATTTGATCTGAGGACCTCAAAGTGCTTCTTCAGTTATTAACCAAATTATGATTGCTGCTTCTCTGGGAAATAGGTAATAAGTAATACTGCAATTCATTTTACAAATAATGAGCAGATTCAGGAAGGGGCTGGAAGCTTGACCAGTACTTTCTGTCAACATTATATTTGAAGTCTGAATGGAAGCCTGGCACTCCTTGTATTACACCATTTTACATGGTGCTCCTACTGGAGTTGTCAGCCTCACTGTGAAACAGCAAAGAGAAGCATCAGGTTCCCCATGAAGGAGATGCTGAACCTGTGGAAATACACTGCCCAGCTCCTGTTGAGACTAGCAGGGTTAAGACACATTTACAGAAATCCTGGCAACCTTTTTCTGACTTAATCCAGCCCAGCAGCAGTACTTGAATGATGCTTGAAGGTGATTGAAGCACATTCCAGCCAGCACTCATGCATGTTTACATTTTGTTAAATCAGTGGAGTCTAAGCACAGGCTTAAATACTTTACTCACTAGGCATATAGTTTTTGGGAGGGTTTGACCTTTTATGAGGTGCTTTGGGTGTATTTGGAGCTCAAACCTATAACTGCTGGAAAACTCAGAAGCAGAAAGTTTACCTGAAATCTGAGGTACTCTGGGCTATTAGGTTGCTTTCCAGGTCATACTCAGCTTTTGAATGGGAAAGATCATTCAGTTAGAACATCATTCTAACAAATCACTTTTCCTTAACAAATGAAAAATGTGTCTGCATATGAAACTCAAGCATGACCTTATAAGAGCCTCAAGTCTAATCAGTCAACTTCTTTGAATGTATCTTGTTCTCATGCTTCCTTTCCTTTGGTCATGAAAATCATCACACAGATTCTGACTTAAAGTACAAGGACACTCATCTCAGAGTATGTTTGGAAAGCAGAAAGTCAGGCCTGGTCACAGTGTCTGTTCTCTGAGTTCTGACGAAGGACACACGGATGTGCAAAGCCCTTGTGGTGCTCTGCCATTGGTGAGAAATAACAGCAGTATTTCACAGGTCATGCAGGCTAGGAGAAAGAGAAGAAACCATGAACACTGCCCACTCAGCCAAAGGAGAGTGCCCATATTTAGTTTACTAATTTGAAGCCTGAGTGTCTGATTGTGCATGTTCAGAAAATCCAGGGTCATAGAAGGTTTTAAAAATGAAGACCAGCTATGGAACAGCATTTAATTTTGCATTCTCCCATCAACTCCAGGTTTTGACACTTTATTTAGCTATTATTATGAGAAACCACTAAGACGTGTTTATATATGTTCTACCAAATGTGTTTCAGAACATCAGTTTTTGGCACTCAGCAAGGAAAATGATCTGTAGTCTTGACCAGCGGTATGTGCTGGGCAGATGAGACTGTGCACCACACAAGGTTAAAAAGCTGCTTTTTTCTCTACTCAGAAACACAACTGAGAGTCAGTTCTTTGAACTTCTTTCATGGGCCTCTCAGTTGAAAAAATAAATCTGATGACAAACTTCTGAATTGCTGTGGTCTCACGGACCTTTTGCAGAGGCATGCAGTGTTATTCTGAAGTGCAGTGAGAGTCTTCATTTAGCTTCCCTCTCTTTTCTTTCTGACTGCTGTCATCTTCCCTTCCCTCTGTATTAACTTCTCCATCTTATCATGCAGCCTCTTAAGGCTCCTCCACTAAGAAATGTCCAAAAAGCAAATCTATGCAATCACCAAAAATAAATTATTTGGGGACTTGAGCTGCTCTGAAGTGTGTCTTGTTTCATAGGCAGGTGCCTAGGGGCTACTTTTGTTCTGGAGAGAAGAATTATAAATAGTGCTATGACAGCGTCGTTCAAGTTCACATGAGTCTGTGTGGTCTGTCTAATTCATTTCTCTTTGATGATTGCTGTACTCATTTCTGAAACCGTTCCCCTAAGCCCCTGCATTTCAAGGTTGTCTGGCTTGCACTGTGTTCTTTAGAAGGAAATGCAATTGATCGTCCATGTAGCAGGGCTCTGTGGTGTGTCCCTTTTCTATTATCTCTCTATTTTTGGAATCCTGAGGGTAATTTACACAAAATGTGTCTGCACTTAGAGATGCCCTTGTGTTTAATGCATAGGGATAGTCAGTATGTGGTTTTCTCATCATGAAGGGGAGAAAGATAATTTAAGAACCCATTGAGGGCCTTCCCAAAGTGGTCTGCCTGACACAGGACAGTGGTTCTGTCGGGTTTTGTTGTAGCTTGGTCTGTACCCTTATTATCAAGTACTTAACTGAAAATGTTAAATGTTTTACTCACTAATGAATACAAAGTGCATATCAATTTGTGAGCAGCCTACCATGGTCCTACAGACACATAATTTATTTTCTGACATGGTAGCATTTGTGAGCTACGTGTGGCAATGTATGGTTTGTACTCAAGAGGAGTCACAAAATGAATGTGAGACACTTTTTCCCTTAATTAGTGAGGATTGTCCTGCCCATGGGCTTTTCAGGTGGGAATAGCCATCCATAGTGACCTTCACAGTGCCCTGCAAGCACTTCTGGCATTGAACTCATAGCAAACAGAACTGGACTAGAGGAGAAATGAGAAACCTGGGAATTGCCAAGTGCCCAAAATTGCTGCTGCTGTTTGGGGTGTTGTATGACCAAGCCAGGGTGCCTGTGGTTCCTGAGGGGGTAGGTGACAGGGGGCCCTTGGAAAGAGGCTGGCAAAACAGCTGTGAGAAGATGTGTGTTATAGTAATTGTGGGCTCTAGGCACTGAGTAATTTGTAAGGCTGAGGGGTAGGGGCCAGCAGGGTGCATCTAGTGGAATTGTCAAACCCAGATACACACACAGGTGTTAAGTTTGGGGAAGGACTTGTGGGGAGAAAAGAGTCATGTGAGACCTTTAATAAGTGGTAGTCTTTCCAGTCTGTATGATCTGTTTGAAAGAAAATACAGAAAACAGGAACTCTGGTTCAGCTTTTCAAATCTACTTCTGGATAGTACCAGGTATATGATGTTTGGGCACAAGAGACTTAAAGCACCAGACATTGTTGAGAGAGGAGAAAGAAGGGAATTCAGTGTTCAGGACTGGGAAAGGAAATCTTATGATAAGGGGTGTATGTAGTTCGGCCTGTGAGCAGGAAAAGTTGACAAAAAAAGGTATTTTCATAATGGCATTTTTACCTAGAATAGGATTGATGTGGAATGGTTTATCTTTTCAGTGGTTTACATTGCTCCAACCATCCCCACATTTTTCTAATGTATTTCACTGTAATCATATAAATCTTGCTCAGGGTACGATATGTACTCAAAAAAGGGATTAATTCTTTACCAAGGTTACTGTTGTTTTTATTTTAATCTGAAAACAGCTGTGTTGTTTATTTTCCATGTTGAAGAATTGCTATGGTAGAGATTAATAGAAAACACAGAGTTACTCATTTAGCACTGAGAAGAATGTTTTGTACTAATCTACAGTGATCAGTCGCACTCTTTTCACAATTGACTTCAGAAATAGTTATCATGAGTCCATTATTTACCAATAAGAACATCAAGTCACACTGGTAGCCTTAATATGTACAACCTGCTGATTAAAGAAATAAATGAGAACTGTGGATAGGCCTTGCTTTCAGATGCCAAGCAGACAAAAGAAATGAGTCTTTTAAAGTATGAGAGATAGTCGGTGGTAGAACAGTTTCTGTCTGTATATTGTATATTGTGGAATATACTTATAAGTGTATATATATAATATATACTTATATATATATAAGTATATTGTTATAAATATATATACTTTATATATATATATAAGTATATTGTGGAATATACTTATTCCCTGATCATAAGTACATGATTTTGGAATGTATTACGCTGTTCACTTCTTGTGCAACTACAATGCTAACAAGATGAATGGCTTCTCTTTAACCTTCATTCCCCTCTTTGTGGCTGAACTCTTCCTCAAGCAATGCCACAGCCAAAAGAAAGAGCTGTTTCATTTTAAGAGGAAGACATAAACTTTAACATTAACTGTCTGACATTTGAGGACAAAGAGTGTCTCCTGACACTCCTTACTTTATGGGCTTACTTTCAGATGTTGTTTACAAGTGCTTCAAGAGTATCTTTCCTAAAGGAGAAATTTTGTTCAAGAGCCACAAACCTGCAAGTTACATTCAATGAACATGGGAATTATATGTCTCTTTAATCAATTTCAGCTCTTCCTCTAGGTGGAAGACAGAGGCCATCTGCTTTAAAATATGCATCCTAAGCTGAAAAGCCAAAGAAGGTCTTAGTAAGCTGTCTACAGAAATTGCAGCAACTGCTCTGAGTACAGATCCCAAATTGCCAAGCTGCCAGGGAACTAGAGGTGTCCTGGAGCTCCTCTAGAGATGAGAGGTTCTCTTGTGTGGCCATGTCATGTGTTTTGGGATTGAGCTCAGGCTCCAGGCTCTGAGCCCATAGATTCACACGGACACATCACTGCTGCTGTGTTCCCACTGTCTTGCACTGAAAGCCACACACCCTTCCAGGGTTGGGGAGCCACAAGGCTGGAGGCTGGCACAGTGGGACCAGAGCTCTTCCAGGCCTGCACAAGTTTGTGCAATGCAGGTACAAGCAGCAGCAGAGAGCTCAAGGCAACTTGTGCTTGCTCCTCAAGAAATATATGTCCAAAATAACTTGCCCAGATTTCCAATGTCAGATCAAATGTGTTTCTCCTAAAATGTCTCTGGAAGATGGTCCTGCTAATTGAACAGCAAAGTTCTATTTGATGGGTAATAGTTTTAAAAAAAAATTAAAAAAAAAAAATCAACCTCCCCCAGCAGTAAAATACCTTTTTAACAATGGAAAAGGAGGAGTGGGGAATTGGGTTGTCCAGAACTGCATGTTTCCATGACATCTATTCTGAGTTCACCTCTTGGATTTGTACCTCTGCTACTGGTTATCTTTGAGAAACCTGCATAGGATCACATCATTTTCAATGTGTCTTATGTGGCAGGTTGAGTCAGGAAAACAAATAAGTGCTTTAAACACCATAACTCTTGGAAAATGTAATTGTTGCCTGGACAGTGTCACCGTGACAGAGAACAGCCACAGCTCCAGACAGACCTTCTGGCATTTAAACTGCTCACTGTTGCAAGAAGGGAAACAGTCATAAACACTCTGCAGACTTGAGGTGCTCTGTGACATGTGTTTGCTTTTCAGAGTATGGAGTCAAGCTTTCATTTCCTGGCAAAAGGTAAAATAGGAGCTCTAATGGGACCACTTAGTGTCACTGTCTCTGAATCTGTGATAGATTTGCTTCCTTTATGGTGCAAATCAGCACACAGTTTATTTTACTGTGGTAGCATTCCCTAGCCAGGTAAAGTAAAGGGAGTTTTTCTGCCTCCTGTGAGGAATGTTAATTATTTTCAGTATGTTAAAAATGTGCAGAATCCATGACAAGTCTTGGCATAATGAAGAGGGAAACTAAGTACTTGTAAAAAAAATTACAAAGCAAGTGCAAAACAATGAGACTGGAAAAGATTAGTAAAATTATTTTCAATATGAGCTTACTGCAGAGGAAAGCTGGGAATTAATGGAGAGAGGACTAGCTGAAACAGAACTAGTGGGTTCAAAGAGTAAGAATATAAATGCTAACAAATAAAGTCCTTCTGCATGTATTTGACTTCAGTCATTTTATTAAGCAAAGTGAAGGCAAAGCGTTGGTTTCGGTCAGCATGATGATGTTATAGATTTGTATTCCAACAAATACTAGCAGTTGTCAAAAAACACAGAGATATTCTAGGTGTGAAAAATAGGGCGAATTCTAACAAATCTGTTGCATGGCTCATGCACATAAGGAAAACCTGTCTTTATTCATTGTAGGGTCATCTCACTTCAGGAGGAATGTAGTCCTGAAGCAGAAGAGACAAGAGAAACCATACATAAGGATCAGCTGGTTTACTGCTTTTATATGTACCAGAGAGGCCTGTATGGAGACAAATGGAAGAGGAAGGAATCAAATACTCAAGGTGAGAGATAATTTGAAACAGTTTTGTCACACCTCAATATTGTCAGTTTTCTTTAAAATGCATTTCTGTCCACATCTGGTTTCATACTTAAGGGTACATTACACATTAAAAGTCAAGGCTGCTGAGAAATTCTGCAGCGTGGATTTTCTTTGAATATAGATTTTCCTGTGTAATGATCCACGAAGTACCACCATCATTGCATACTTTCCTGGTACTACTTTTCCAGTAATAGTCATATACTAATGAAGTATATATAATGAAGTAGTGTGTTTCATGCCTTTGCATGAAAATAAGCCTCTCCAACCAAAAAATAGGAGTCAGCAGCATGTTGATTGCCAGTTCTCCGCTGTTACTTTATTTACAACTAGTTCCTGGAACAGAACAAATACTATTATCGTGTGGGGCAGAAGCTGCAATAAATAATGATACGCTATACACACACATCTTTGTTGTGTCTCACATGCATATACAATGTGAGGTCTTACTCATGGTAGCCCAGAACTAATTTGCAGTTTGTTTGGAAAACATATTCTTCCTGTCAAGTGCATGTTAACTAGTGCAAGATACAGACCAGAAGTATGATGTGTGAACAAAGTCTTGTGACAATAACTTGGAAATGCCAATGAAAGTTATGTTGTGAATGAGATCTCCTGAGCTTAGGGGACAGGAAGTTTGGTTTCGGTACACTGAAATTTAATAACTCAGACAAGTCACATCTGTGACTTTATGAGTAAAAGTGAGTCCAAAGTATGGGGTTTCACACTACCCTGGTGAAGTTCGTGTTGGCTGTATGTTACCATAATAACCAGTACTTGCCCAGAGTACTACTACACCGTCTAGGCAGGGAAAGAGAATAAACCAGAAAAGAAACCATTCCTAGCAGATGACAGAAAAGAGACTGCTGTTTTGGAGGAGAGACTTGACCTGTGTGGTGAGGGTCCTCCAGTAAAAAAGTCCTTCTATGTGGGACTGCAGGATAGCTCTGGTGGAAAAGGACTTCAAAAAGTCTCTGCAACAGCCCTCTGCTCCAAACAGGGTCAACCACAGGGTCAGACCAGGCTGCTCAGCTTTTATTTTGTTCAGTCTTGAAAGCCTCCAAGGAGCCTCAATAGGCAATCTATCCTTTAGAAGAAGCAGTTTACTTTACATCCCACTGAACTGGCAGTCCTGGCCTCAAGCATGTCAGCTGCACCCCCCAAGTTTGGTGTCATATGCAAACTTGGCCAAGTTGCCTCCTCAAGATCATTGATAGAGATATTAAGCAGGACAGGCACCCAGGCAGGGTATCAACCTTTAACCACTGCCCTCTGAGCCTGTTAAGCCATTATATTTTAACCCATCTAGTTGTCTGTCCTTCCAGACCCTAACATCCTAATTTGGATAACTATGTGGAAATAGCTTATATACATACACCTTGCTAACTATAGAGGCAGAATGTTTTTTTAATGAACCCATAATCACAAACTATGCACCAGAAGCTTTTCACAAGCCAGTGACACAGTTTCCTATCAGCCAGTGACACAGCTTCCTACCAGTTTTACAGCTCTCCCCTCCCAGAAGAATGTGAGTACCTGGGATTTCTACACTCCTTAGAGGGAAAAACACTTCACCTGCTTTTGAAATGCTGCCTTTTCTGCATGGAACTGCAGGTGAACTACATAAGGCTTTCTTTCTAAGCACAAAAATGGAGTGTTGTCACTGATGGAAATAGAAGGGCAGTATAGGAGTGTGTATACAGCTGAGATGAAAACTAAAGACTCCAGTAACCTCAAACATTGACATTAGGATTTGCCTTACTCTGAATGCCAACTTGCAAAGCAGAGACAAAGCTGTTCCCAGTTGTCAAGACAACATCTGAGGGAAGTAGAACTGTCAACAATAACAAAAATATCAGATTTCTGTTGTCTCTCTGAAAATGTATGCAATATTCGAGGAGTACAAGAGATGGGAAGAACTGCTTAAAAATCTGAGTTTCCCTCAGAGGGAAGAGCCTGGGCAGGTATGTAAATAAACCCCCAGTAGGGAACATACATAGGCAATGTCTGCTGGAAAGGAGGCAGAAGAATGTTCAGAAGAATGTTAGAAGACTTTGTTACACAGTTCCTGTAATTTAAAGGCATTAAAAATAATAATAATAAAAACACTTATTTTCCACCTGGCTGGAAGGAGACTGAAGGATGAAAAGCAAGGCAGTGCTGTTGTGTTTGGCCAGTAGCCAGCCAGCCAAGTAAGACCAACAGGCACATAAACAGTTTGTATGCATCTCAGTGGGAAGCTTTCTTCAAAACTGAGGTGTGGAAAAAGGGTTCAAGCACAGGTTTACTTTTTTCTTAAATGTAGGCAGGTTATTCTTTGCATCGCTGAAAATAGCTAAATTTAAGCTGAATGTAACCCTGGAGCTTAAAATGATGGTCTTCTCTTGAACAGAATGGACAGGAGAAATACAAGCTGCCTCTACAAAATCTGCGGCTGTCTTTGGTTTTAATTTAGAGAAACCACACCTGTGGTGCATTTTAGAGAAAATGGGAAGCTTGGGATTCGCAGCTCATTTTTTCACAGTCTCCATTAAGTCGCCAGCACTATTTGTGATACTCTGCTGAGACCACGTTTTTCTTCTGGGTTTATGATCAGTAGCTCATTTTGACTTTGATCTTTAAACAGTTTTGAGAGAGAAAGCATAGTCATATGCACTACTAATATTTTTTCTGAGGTAAGTGGTAAAAGTTCAGTCTTGTAAGTCATTGTTGCACAAATGTGTAGCACAGAGATGCTCCTACTTCAGTAAATATGCTGGATTTATAGTAGGAAAATATCACTCCACTTTGGAGACTTCTGTCATGGTTTCCAGCACAGCTAGGCTGATGCTGATCCCTAGACCTTTCACTGAGGGCCAGCTACTGTGTTGTGCTGTTCAGTGTAACTGCACCCTTATTCTTTCCCTTAGCCTTGGATCCTTAATAATCCTGAGGCAGACTGGAAATAACATGCTTAGCTCTATAAAACACAGTTAACTCTTTTTCAGACAAGATTTCTGACAGGTCAAGCAGCCAAAGACATTGATAGGGATTGTTGGGAGAAAGAAGATCGCAGGTTTGGTGTCTGCTTGAACTCACCAGCAGGAATATGGGCACCTCCGGCTATAGCGGCAGCAGTAAAATTGCCATTCACGGTCCAGCACCGATGGAAAATACTGACTCTGGAAACCAGCCACCAGCCCATTGTTTGAGCAGGTTTGATACCTAATAATGAGGGTAAAGAGGAGAACACACAAGGAAAACATGGTATTAGATTCCTTGATAGTTTCAAGCATTTCTTAAAACAGCATCAGCATTTTTGATATAGAGTGCAAGTTGAGGGTTTGACTTTGTGCTGAGAAGCACTGTTTGCACTTGCTGTGTATAGAGTAACAATTTTCTATAAGAAACCAGCAGTAGTTAACCAATGTCTTAGCATTTATGTTGCACTTAAAACTATTTAATCAGGCTAAAGTATTTAATCATTCTCGTATGCTTACCATGAAAGAAGATTGTTCTGGTGTTATTATTCTCAACTGTTTACAAATCATAAGACTGAGTTCAAAATAGTCCATTAATATTTTTGTCTATGACTGTTGGTATTTGAGGATTTGGGCTTTATTGAACTAATCTTTTCAACTACTTCTCTACCACAATAAAAAAAAAAAGCTTGAGAAGCTATTTTTTAAAAAAAGTTCATTAACTTTTTTAATTGCTTGCTTTCACAACTAGGTGTTTCTAGGAGAAGGGATTCTTTATTAAAAGCATTTAGGCTTATGATGAAATCATTATTTGATAGCAATCACATAAGGAAAACTGTGATTCAGATGTTACATAATTTTAAGAGTCACATAAAGTTTATGACTGGATTTTTAAAAGAAAAATCTGCTGCTCCATGTTTTCTGTGTGGTCGATAATTCTATCATACCTGTGAATCACTGCCTCCAGGCAGAATAGACATGGTCTCAAAGCATGCATGCGTCTGTCTGCACACCCTTCAACACTTTAACACTGATACCCAAAGTAATTCAAGTGGCAATCAGTTTGAATGCCTTGCTTCTTGGAGACTAAAGACAAGGAGCCCATGAAAACAGACAGGTCATTGGTTCAGCTATCCGGTCCTCATTCTCTCAAGCACCCTCCTGGCCTCACTGTGTCCCTATCCTGAAAATTATAGGAATGCTGTTTCTTCCATCACTTTTCCTTTTCTTTCTTTTCCTTTCATCAAGGAAAACCTGTAGCAAACATTCTCTGCGATTTCATAAAATCAATTACAATGATCTATCTGAAAGACACTTTCAGAAGTAACTGTATGTATAACAATTACCAAAAATCTCCCTTAGTTTCATTCAATTACCTCATAATTTATTCTAAAGACCTGAAGTACCCAGATGGGAACACACATCATCTAGCGGAGTTTGGTGTTTGGAAAGTCATTCACTTGTGCACAGGAGTGTTAGTGCTTGCAAAGACAGCATGAGGCTGAAGTATGCAAAAGCTGAAAAACTGATCAATTTTGACCAGTGCAGTGATGAATTTCCCTGCCTAGTTTTCAGCATCCGTTTTTGAACTGAAGGGTCTCTTTTCTGTCTCTTCCCCTTCGTTCTGTTGTTCAGACAAGAGTATTTACATTTGTTTTTGTCCCTGTATCTCCCAAGGTGATGGGGCCACAGTACTTGTTGTGCTTTGTGCGACTCTTTCAAGGACCTTCAGAATTCAGTTGTGATGGGGACTCTGAGTTGCCATGGTATCACAACAAGTATGGCAGTCTGGCTTTCACTCAGAGGATTTCAGCAGGGCTTTGATAGGAAGTTGTTCTGATTTTTGGCTCATAGGCCATAGGAACATATGGCTAAGACTCTGAGTAAACATAGTGGATAGCTGCAGATGATTGGTGTTATCCTGATGGAAGAATGGTTGATACACGGCAGGATAGGGATTGGTTCTACCTGTTGCAAGATGAGCTGTGTAAAATAGCAACAAATTTGTGCCTCATCCTCCATCTCTCTCCCTTCCTATCTGCGTTTGCACTGCGCAAGTCCTCATGCCCCTGGGAGATTTTCTAGCTCTTTTGCATAGGTGCAATGTTGGGAGCACTTTATTTCTCCATTTCCTTGGCCTTTCCTCTCAGAAGCTCAACACTGCCCTGCAACTTTCCATCCTCACTGATCAGATCAACGTCTGATACTCCTGCTCACTTGTCTTTGTGGGAGGTTCTTCCTTCTTTCCTCTTCCCACCTGTTGACATTCAGTCTGGGAAGTCCTGTCCTCTTTGCCTTTGTCCTATTACAGTTTTTATTTTCCTGGCAAGTTATATGTTATAAGAAGAAAAAGCTGCCAATTTTTTTTAAAAGGTTGCAGAGTGAACAGGTTGGGCCAGTTGCTGCCAGGGTGGAGTTCTAACTGTTTGTTATTGTAATCACCAGTCATTTTCGTTAACTACTCCTTTTGTATCAGTACCGCCCTGCCTAAAGCCAGGTTGATGGCCCTTCTCGGACAGTGCAAGAAGAGACATCACAGTGCAAGAAGAGACATCGGAGTCCATGCAGATAACCTCAGACCCAGAATGCAACAAGAGAGGACCCCCACCAAATTTACCAAGACCCCAAAAACAACGAGCCAACACAGAATTAAGAGATCAAAGTGATGTCTGGACATGAGGAACAAAGTACAGAGCCTTCAGAGGTGCTGAGATCTTTTTTTGCCCCTTGCCCTAGCCACGGAAGGACCCCGGCTAGAGGCAAGACCCTGGGAGGAGACCCCAGAGTTGTGACCCGGGGTTCCCCCGCACTGCTCTGGTGAGGACAGGACCCTCAGCTCCCCTCTCAGGGGACAAAGCTGCACTGTCCTCCTCCTGAGAGCCACTCCTGGAAGGCGATGACGAAGAGACTGCGGACCCGTTGAGCCTCCCAACCAAGAGCTGATCTCTTTCAATAAAGACACCAAAAAGGAGAAAAGATCTCGTGCCCTGTTTTTTTCATTATAGATGGATAATAAGACGATTGTCTCTCATAATTAAAAGATAACTATTGTGTGAATATTAAGAAAAGCTCTAGTGATGTATAGTTATGTTATTATAGTTTAGATGTCCTCTGTTCTCTGCACGGTTCCCTTTCCCCCCCACCGTGTTGTGACCATCAGACAGCCGGGGCTGCCTAGGACAGAAGCTGTGCCATGTGCTCCTTGCATGGGCAGCTGGGAATGGAAAAGCTTGGTGCTTAGGGGGCAGCATGGCAACACCTGACCTCCAATCAAGTTACAAGAAAGCAGTCTCCAATGATAAATGGCAAAGAAGAACTGACTGATAGACTTTGGGAGGGGCCAGGGCTGGCTGATGCAACCCCCAGGGGTATAAAACACTGAGCATCCATCTTGAAGATGCACTGGCCATGAGGTATCTACAGTGGCAGTTCCCAGTGCTGCAGCTTTTTCCTTATGTAGTCCTTTGTTGTATTTTTGTTAAGATTTAATAAACCTTTTTAAATTTTCAAAGTGAGCAGTTGTTTCTCACAGGACACATTATTTTCTACTAATATAGTTCGGTTGTGATGGAAAGATTCATTTTGAAAGAGATGTCACTCATGGACACTTCTCTCTATAGTAAATTGAGAAACAAACCTAGCTAGCAAAACACTCATATGTTTACATGCACTCACATTTGAGTACCTGATTTTAGGAAGTGTGGTTATTTTTTATTCTGATTCTGTCTTCTCATAATAAGTTTGATTAAAAAATATAATTGGTGTTGCCTTAAAAATTAATTTCTTAGATGGAAAGTGTACCTGGATGTAAGTAATGTTTTATAATTAAATTGCATTTTTGTTTTAATGTAATTCAAGGTAAAATTTGAAATACATATTAAAGGCCATGTTCAATTCTCTCTCTTTGCTTCTGTCTCATACACAAGGTCCTGTAATCTTTTATTCAAGCTCAGTATTTGGTTTAGCAAAAACAAAAATAATAGTGTGGGAACTCCGCACATCATTCCTGATGTCCAGAGTTGCCAAGACAACCCTTGGGGGGCTCGGAAGTCCTGGAATGTTGCCAGAAGTGCTTGGTGGCTAGACTTTGATCCCGCATGGGATGCGGCACCTGTATGAGGATGAGAGGATCATACGGGGATAAGTGGTGAAGGGACAGATTGATTATAGAGTGAAAACACAGGTTTTAGAATCTCGGTACAGGGGGGTTCTAGGGACAAGATGGAGGAATTAGGGCGTGTCCTGTCCTTCTTCTTCTTCTTCTTGTCATCCATCTTTGATGGTGATGGTGGCACTTTGAGATTGGTTCTGAATTTGCACTTGTCAATAAGTGAAAAGTATTGGGAGGAAAAGGTAAATATCCTACACGTAGTTTTTGGTATAAAAATAAGCGGCCGCCCCGAGGGAGGTCAGTGTGCCCATGGCTGGCTTGCTGTGCGGACCTCTGTCGGGCCGGGAGAAAACATTGTAGGTAAGAGTTAATAAACAACACTGAAGAACTGAAAAACCTGAAGACTCCTTTCGTCCTTTCGAGCGTGGGCTGCCTCAAGGCCATCCAGAGCCTTTCCAGGCCATTTCAACAGCCAAGACAGGACATAATAGTGACGTTGAAGTACTTTTCTTTAGCTTTGAGATAATGTGAGGTTATTTGCTGTAATCTTTCTAGTTTTCAAGTAAAATCCAGACACTCCTTCAAAAATGAAGAGATGCTCTCAGAACTTGGAGTGCTTATTTGTGAGGTCATATAAAATATTTCCTTCCCTTTCTTTTTCCCAGCTGACCACTTTCCTACAGCAGAAAGTAATTCTTCAAGGGAAACAAACAACCCTCCTTACACACCTTTTCAGTCAGTTGCTCTACGCACTAATCTGAAAACAACACTTAATGTATCAGATTTTTTTCCTTCTCTGTTGAATTCACTACTCTTGAATCACAGCAAATCCTGAAGTAAGTATGGTGAGTAAAAACTAGTGATTCAGGAACTTGGATTTATAGCCAAGTCAAAACAATATTTTTTTCACAAGACCCACTTTTTAGCACTTTTACTATAAAGGCTAGTTTAGTATTCATATTAATGTTACCAGGTTCTCCTCACTCCTGAAATCCTGACATTGCTAAGAAGAGAGGAAAATGCCTCTTACAAGGTGGATGCAGAAGAACGTGAGAAACTGGCTGGGACTGTGTGGGATTAAACTTGGCAGTGGGTAGGTTTTCTTTTTCTAGCTGGCTCAAGTTGCCAAGTGC